CATTAGCACCTCTAGTAATATATTTACTGAGAAAAATGTTGACGTGTTCAATACTTATTTTACCCGCTGTATCTCCAGCCAGTACACCAACTGCACATGGTCAATTTCAGCTAAAGCTATCCTGTCCATCAGTTTCAGGAATCCGTCACGTGGAAAAATTATTCTCTCTGTTTGCTGCGGCGTGTCGAGCAGCGAAAGTTCAATTTTTTGATCTCGAGCTGCGGCTGCTTTGGACGCGCCACATGCATGGAAAATGTTCTGCCCCATCCTATCGCTACCTTGCGCGCTGCTCTAAACTGGGAAAACGCACCGCGCTGCTCCTAGATGCATGTCCACCATAGAATTTGCATGTAAACTGGCTGCTTTTGCTGCTCAAAACACATCCGGTGTGTACCTGGCTTTCCACCCACTCATTCAAAGACACACAAAATGGAAGCCATAATCCACTCACACTCCCGATACACACTCTATACCCACCTACGGAGGGCAGTCCGCATCCGAACCCAAGAGGTACACCCATTCATTCTGAGTGTGTGGACTGACTATATAAACTTCTGTGTGAAACAATACCATTCCCACCAGAACAGTGAGATGGTTCCCTAATAATGAACCCTGGATAACCAGTGAGCTAAAGGAACTTTTAAACAAGAAAAAAAGAGCCTTTAGGGAGCGAGACAGGGAGTTATTGAGGAGTATACAGAAGCAGCTCAAAGTCAAGATCAGAGACAGCAAGGAGGTTTATAAAAAGAAGTTGGAGAGTAAACTGAAAAGGAACATTATCAGAGATGTGTGGTCAGGGATGAAGAAGACCACAGGCTTCAAGAAAAAGGAGAATTGGACGGATGGAAGTCTGGACAGAGCAAATGAGCTGAAAACTTTCTTCAACAGGTTCAGCTCAGGAACAAGTTCATCTTCCTCCTCTCCTGCCCCCAGCCAAACAGACATCTCACCCTCCTTTGACCCACAGCTTTCCTGTCAAACCTCAGATGTTTTATCTTCAACCTCAGTCATGGACTTTTCTTCTACATCCACAAGTTTGTCTTCAACTAAATCAGGAGATGCTGCTGCTCCCTTTGCCTCCCCCTCCAACTTTTCTGAATCTGGAAGTCAGGTGAAGAGGCAGCTAGAGAGACTGAACCAGACCCTGCAGGCCCAGATGGTGTCAGCCCCAGAGTCCTGAAGGCCTGTGCAGATCAGCTCTGTGGGATTCTGCAACACCTCTTCATCCTAAGCTTGACCCAGGAGAAGGTGCCAGTGWTGTGGAAGACATCCTGTCTGGTTCCAGTTCTAAAGGAAACTCACCCATCAGCCCTCAATGACTATAGACCTGTTGCCCTGACATCCCACATCRTGAAGGTCCTAGAGAGACTCCTGTTGACCCACCTGAGTAAGCAAACAAGCACACATCAGGACCCCCTTCAGTTTGCTTATCGTCGTGGAGATGGAGTTGACGACGMCATCATACACCTGCTTCAACAAACCCACTGTCATCTGGACAAAGCAGGCAGCACTGTGAGGATCATGTTCTTTGCTTTCTCCAGTGATTTTAACACAATTCAGCCTGAGTTTCTTTGTCTGAAACTCCAGAAGACTCAGGTGGAGGCCTCAACAATCGCCTGGATCAAAGACTACCTGACAAACAGACCACAGTTTGTGAGACTGAAGGACTGTGTGTCTAACCTGGTGGTCAGCAGCACAGGAGCACCACAGGGRACTGTACTCTCACCATTTCTTTTCACACTGTACACTTCAGACTTCCAGCACAAGTCAGACTGCTGTCATTACAGAAATACTCAGATGACTCTGCAGTTGTTGGGTGGATCAGAGATGGACAGGAAGATGAGTACAGAGAGCTGGTGGACCGCTTTGTGGCATGGTATGGGAACAATCATCTCATCTTGAATGTGAACAAAACAAAGAAGATGATTGTCGATTTTAGGAGAAATGGTGTTAAATCAAACCCTGTTTCCATCATGGGAGAAGAAGTGGAGGTGGTTGAGGAAAATAAATACCTCGGTGTTCCTCTGGACAACAGACTGGACTGGAGACTCAACAGTGAAGCAGTCTACAAGAAAGGACAGAGTAGACTGCACTTCTTAAGGAAGCTGAGATCCTTCAATGTCTGCAGCAAGATGCAGCAGATCTTCTACAAGTCTGTTGTTGAGAGCGTCATCTCTTCTGCCATCATCTGTTGGGGCAGCAGCATCAGAGCCAGGGACCTAAAAAGGCTAAAAAACCTGATAAAGAAGGCTGGTTCTGTTCTGGGGATGACTGTGGAATCTCTGGAGATGATGGTGCAAAGAAGGATTTTACATCAAATCAAGAACATTGTGGACAACCCTGACCATCCTCTTCATCAGACTGTCATAGAAAAACAGTGTCTTCAGTCAGAGGCTTCTTCAATTTCGTTGTATTACAGACCGCTACAGAAGATCTTTCCTGCCCACAGCCATCAGCATAATGTCTTTAGTTAAATGTTACAACGTACTGAATGCGGCATTGTCTTTTTCTGCGCATGCAGGTAGCATCAGCTCTGAAAGCCTGTGTTGCTTGCAGCCCCTCCCTTTCCTGCTGAGTCTGACTGCACACACAGGGGAAGCAGACTGTGAGAGGGGAGAAAGGAAATATTCTAAACAGTAGCATGCACCATGTCACTATTCCAGTACCGTTAATGATATCGTTAATGCTGTAGGTTATGGATCTGGTCAAAATTCATCACATGGAACTGGTGCTGAAAAAAATACTGGGTTTCGGTAATGAGCAGCATGGTTGGGTTTTAATTTATTTTTAATGAATCATATTTTCTCTAAGCAATTTAATGTCGTTTTTCCAGGTGTCTCCACCTCTCAGACCCAGCAGGCCTACACCTCTCAGGTACTCCAGCCCGAAGAAGCACTCTACCTCCACAAGAAGAAGAAGCGGCCCATTCTTCACGATCCATATGCTCGCTTTTCTGCTCTGCTGTACCGCCGTCCACCCCAGGAGGACCAGAGGGCCATTTTAGCTAGCATGGACAACATGGACCTAGACCATGCCACCTTCCTTTGAAGCCCCTGGAGATGAGGTGGTGACTGTGTGATTTGTTCCTGTTTCCACTCCACCAACACATTTCACGAGCTGCATTACAGTTAGAGAACAACAGCATCTCTGCTTACCTAACATGTCCAAACGCAGGTCACACTGATACTTTCTGTAGCTGCACTAGTTTTCAGAAGATAATATAGAGTCAACAAAGAGTTATACGTTAGAGAACAAATGTATTTCTCTGTTGTCAGTTTCAGTCAGTGTCTCAGTCAGCTGCGACTGTTGGAGATCAGTTTGGTAAAAACCGCATTCAGGAGCGAGTCTGCAGGATGTTCTAAAACATCTACAGAGYTTCTCAGTCCTGACATGAGTCCTAGAGGCTCTCAGTTTGTTGCTGGAATTTTCTCAGTTTACTTTCTATAATTCTGGAGCTTCAGAGGTCCTGGATGTCCAAACACCGCATTGATTACATATATATTAAGGGTGCAACAATACATGGATTAGTATTGAACCATTCAATGCAYACTACGTGTGGCCCAATACAGATGTTTAAAATTTAAAACTGATTTTATCAACGTGTCTTCTGAAGATGCTCTGCATTGAAGGATCAGTGGATCTGTGTTCGACTACTCCACCTATAGGCGGCATTGTCGAGCGCAGACCCACTGAGAAACTTGCTGTTTCAGCAACATTTAATTTAAAAACTGTACTTTGGAGGTTAAACAAATGTTCATAAGTAATTTCAATAAATTACAAGTTAAGAAGGGAATGGACATTTCTCTTTATTGTATTGAAAAAATATCAAACTGTAAGACTAAACTATTAAACCGAACCAAATTGTGAATTTTCTATATTGTTGCACCCCTTATATATACAATGAAGATCTTATTCATGAATGAGGGAAGAATGGAGCGGGAGATTAACAGGTGGACTGGTGCTGCGTCTGCAGTTATGCGGGCGTTGTACCAGTCTGTCGTGGTGAAGCGGGAGCTGAGCCAGAAGGTGAAGCTCTCAGTTTACCGGTCGGTCTACGTTCTTACCCTCAGCTATGGTCACGAACTTTGGGTAGTGACCGAAAGAACGAGATCGCCGATACAAGCGGCCAAAATGAGTTTCCTCCTTAGGGTGTCTGGTCTCTCCCTTAGAGATAGAGAGAGAAGCTCAGTCATCCAGGAGGGACTCAGAGTAGAGCCGCTGCTCCTCCACGTCGAGAGGAGTGGTGTTTTATTAAGGCCACGTGACTCACTGGCTGCAAACATTCAGATTTTAAAGTGACTGCAACAAAAAACTTTTATGTTCTCGCAATATTTTTCAGATTTTAGTTCCAACTCGCCTCCAGGAGTCGCAGCTCAGCGAGATACTACCTTTATTTTTATTAAAAGTAGAAGAAAAGTCCAACAGGGGGATGATGTTGAAGATGCCTGGATGGTTTCTGACTACAGTTAGCAGTGCCTGAGGACTGAAGCATGTTTTGTTTTTATTGATTTCAGTAGTATTCCTGTCAACAAAATACAAATAACTTGTTTTCAAAGTTTTACTCCAGTGCAAAAACCAACAGGAGAATCATTCAGCTGTGCATTCCCCCAAAAAACTTTTTATTAATCTGTTTTTTTTTTTTTTTCAGCGTCCTCCTACTGACAGCTCTTCTGTCTTTTCTGTCAGTAGGGCAGTTGTTTTTACTTCCTAACGCAGATACCTCAGAGCACAGGGCACAAGGCCACACAACCACCTCACACAGCTGACACATTCACCAAATGACCAAAACATCCCGACGGTTTATGGTCATTCTTTGTTCACTTAATTTAAAGTAGGACGTTCTGTTGATCTTTATTTCTTTTTTCCTGCTCTGGACAGAGAAAAAATAAAATTTTGCTTTTGTTTTGTTTTTCGTTTGTTTTTGTTTCTTACTAACATCTGGATTCATAAAAAGTGTCATCTGATGTCATAGATCCTACAGTTATTTTTGTCCACATCAGATGATTTGGTTTAATTTAAAACTTAATGTTTTGCACTGGAGCAAAAGTCTGACCATTTTTTTCTATTTTTTTTTCTGATGAGGTAGTGTGAAGGGCTCCAAATCCTATTCAGAAACTCTTGCCAAAACCATCTGAATAAACTGAAGTTAGTGTGGAGAGTAGGATTTTGTGCCATAATGAGGTTAATTTTGTCAGACATGTCTTTGAAAACAAAATGGTTTTATTCAGCCTGAATCAGAGTTTCTGCCTGTTTCACTTATGTCATTTCTTTAAACTTGTATTTGAATTTTTCGGTTTTGTTTTTGTGAATGAATGCCTGCCTTTTTCAGATGTTTTTTATTAATGCTATTCTTTTCTCAGACAGGTCAGTTTACATTATTAAAGGCAAGAAAAAGTCCGACAGGTTTGCTTTTAAACTGCATGAAAATGTGAATCCTTCAACCTGATTTTATTAGAAACGATCTGAGGAAAGACGGTGCCATAAGTCAGCTGTATCACACTCTGATCATGCTTCTGATTTGTTTCTCTTTTACTCTGAAGGTGCTCAGTTTCCTCATCTTGTATATTTAGAATCTCATGGGAAGAAGCATGTTTGAAGTGTAATCAGTGGTTTGGTTAACATTTGTTTCTGTTTTTATCGTGATTTTGAGCTGAAACTCCAGCAGTGTTCATAAATCAGCCTCATTTGTACTAAATCTGGTTGTTTATATAAAGATGTTTCCACAGTACCTGCTGGCAGAAGGAGCACTGACCACATATCAGTTTAGGCTTCAAAAATATCAATTTAGATTTGTTCAACAAAACTATTAGGAACCACTTTAACCCTTCATAAAGAGCCAAAATATGAATGAAATGTGATTTTTATTGTGGGTTGCAAAAGTTTTTACCCCCTTAGTGTTTTTGTCTTCTAGCCACACAACCTGGAGTTTGAAATGTAATTTTAGGGTATTTTGTTATCATTTAAACAACGCAAAGCAAGTGTCTTTGAAGGAATGATTTGAGCCTTCTCAAACAGACTAACATCTTTTCCATGACCACGAAATGTGTATTTCGCATGGTTGTTTGAGATATGAGAAGCAACTCATTGCACCAGTTAGGGTTAAGTAACTTGTTGCCAGCTGAAAGATAATCGCCCATGCAGTRGTTATTCAATAGGAGACACGTACCTCTTTGCTTAGTTAAAACCAGGTAGTGTATTTACCACTTTGAAGATGCACCTTTTGTTATTGTGAAACAAACAAAAATGAGTAAAAAATAGAAACCCTGAGTGTGTATAAATATTCGCAGTCCCTACTGATAAAAAATAGTGCTGTTTGATACCATCGATGGTATCAGTGATACTGATCCACTGCTGATACTTTGTGCAAAAACACCTAATGTGTCTGGTAAATCTAAAAAAAGTAGTGTATTTAAATCACTGCTTCATAAGAAATACAAGACATCAGAGTATTTTATTTATTCAATTTGATATCAGAAGTATATTGATGCAACGTCCTCATTCACAATAGAGCCGAGACGATACAAAAGAAAAAACAGTCACAATCATACAAAATGTTCATTTATTGATTTATATAGCGCTTAACAACAACGAACCAAGGTGACTTTACAGTAAAAATCACATCACAGGAAAATAAAACACAAATGAAAAAAATGCTGCTGTGCTACATGGTATTAAAAAGTCTTTCTAAAGAAATAAGTCTTGAGTTTAGACTTAAAGATGCCCGGGTCAAAGGTGGAACGAAGGTCTAAAGGGGAGTTTGTTCCAGAGTTGGGGTCCTGCCACTGAAAAGGCTCGATCACCCCAATGCTTTAGCCTTGACCTTGGGATATCCAATAAAAGTTGATCTGCTATGAGAATACTGTATGTGAAAATTGTGTTTTAATCAATAAAAAATAAGTAAAATAATAAAATAATTCAAATAAACTAGTGTTTGATGATCAAGAATTATTATAAAAACAAAAACATCGAAGTATCAATGTTTTGATTTTAGTATCGATGCTAGAGTTAAGTTCTGGTATCGGTGATATCCATATTTTAGTATCGATCTGTACAATACTAATGAAAAGCATCCCCTCATCATGATGCTGCCACCACTGTAGGATGGTGTTCACTTCAGAACTGGTTCTCTCCTTGATGTTTGGTCTCATCTGACCACAGCTCCGTCTTTCACAAACATTACAAACAATTGAACTTTCTTTTCCTTAAATAGTTTTTTCCCCTTCCACTCTTCAGCTTATAGTGGCTGTATGGACAGAACCTCCCAGCTTCATGAGGGTTTTCTTTGTCCTCCTGGAAGTTTCTCTAGTTCATGTCCTGCTGACCTGCTCTGTGAATTTTAGTGAACAGCCCTCTGTTGGCAGCTTTGCTACCTGGGTCTGGCTCTCCAATCTCTGGTGCAGAGGTCAGCGAGGTGGTTTAAAAGCTCCTCGGTGGCAATGGGGGTGGATGGGATTCGCCTGGAGTTCCTTCAGGCTCTGAATGATGTGGGGTTGTGTTGGTTGACATGACTCTACAATATTGTGTGGACATCGGGGGCAGTTCCCCTGGATTGGTGGACCAGGGTGGTTGTCCCCTTATTTAAAAAGGGGGAGTGCAGAGTGTGATCTAACTATAGGGGATCACACTTCAAGCCTCCCTTGTAAGGTTTTTAGGGGTCCTGGAGAGGAGAGTCCATCGGATAGTCGAATCTCGGATTCAGGAAGAGCAGTGTGGTTTTCATCCTGGTCGTGGAACACTGGACCAACTCTCCACCCTCAGCAGTGTCCTGGAGGGTGAATGGGAGTTTGTCCAACCAGTCTACATGTGTTTTATGGACTTGGAGAAGGCGTTCGACAATGTCCCTCGGGGACTCGTGTGTGGGGTACTGCAGAAGTATGGGGCACCAGGCTCGTTGATACGGGCTGTTAGGTTCCTGTACGACCGGTGCCAGAGCTTGGTCCGCATTGCCGGTAGTAAGTCAGACTTGTTTCCAGTGAGAGTTGGACTCTGCCAAGGTTGCCCTTTGTCGCCAATTCTGTTCATAACTTTTATGGACAGAATTTCTAGGTGCAGCCAAGGTGTTGAAGGGATCCTTTTTTGGTGACCTTAGGATCACATCTCTGCTTTTTGCTGATGATGTGGTCCTATTGGCTTCATATCAGATCGTGATCTCCAGCTCTCACTGGAGCGGTTTGCAGCCGAGTGTGAAACGGCCAAGATGAGGATCAGTGCCTCCAAATCCGAGACCATGGTCTTGAGCCAGAAAAGGGTAGGGTGCCTCCTTCGGGTCGGGAAGGATGTCCTGCCTCAAGTGGAGGAGTTTAAGTATCTCGGGGTCTTATTCGTGAATGAGGGAAGAATGGAGCGGGAGATCGACAGGCGGATTGGTGCTGCGTCTGCAGCGATGCGAGTGCTGTACCAGTCTGTCGTGGTGAATCGAGAGCTGAGCCAGAAGGTGAAGCTCTCGATTTACCTGTTGGTCTATGTTCCTACTCTCATCTATGGTCACGAGCTTTGGKTAGTGACCGAAAGAACGAGATCGCAGATACAAGCAGCCAAAATGAGTTTSCTCCTTAGGGTGTCTGGGCTCTCGCTTAGAGATAGAGTGAGAAGCTCAGTCATCCAGGAGGGACTCAGTAGAGCCACTGCTCCTCCACGTCGAGAGGAGCCAGTTGAGGTGGCTCAGGTATCTGGTTAGGATGCCTCCTGGACGCCTCCCTGGTGAGGTTTTCTGGGCATGTCCCACTGGAGGAGGCCCAGAGGAAGACCCAGGACATGTTGGAGGGACTATGTTTCTCAGCTGGCCTGGGAATGCCTTGGGATTCCCCCAGAGGAGCTGACCCAAGTTGCTGGGGAGAGGGAAGTCTGGGTCTCCCTGTTTAGGCTGCTGCCCCCACGACCCAACCCCAGATAAGAGGAAGAAAACTGATGGACAGATTGTGTATAATCAAATTAAAAGCCTATTTAAATTGCTAGGCAGGGGTGAATACAGTATGTTTGCAACACACTGTAAAAAGAAAATGTTTCTCAAGTTATGCAATTACTGTGGAAATATCTTTCAGATGCAAAAACACATCAATWAATATAAGCGATATAACAAGCTCCAAAATGAAGATGATTAACTTTAGTTTCTTGGTACAAGTATAAAACCAGTCATGTTGGGTTGAATGCACTGATGATGTTTCTGTTCTTTCTAAAGCTGCTGGTGAAAAATGATTAAARTTCATATCATCAGACAGCCGTAAGGTGCTAAACAAACCATCAGGTCCAGTCCCACTTCCACTTTCATACACTCTCTCTAACTTTGTATTTTATTTTGTTGAGCAGTCATTGGCTCACTCTGAAGGATGTCAGTTCAGCAGAGCTATTTCCAATCTGTTCTGTTCAAATATGTTTATTTTTTTTTTTTTCACTTTAATTTGACCTGAGATGTTGTAATGTTTAGAAGAGATGTTCCTTCTGATGTTTGTGGATCTCTGATGGTAGAACTGTTGGTGCTCCTGCTGGTGTCAGTTCTCTGTAGGGCTAGAGAAACTGGACAAAAACATGAAAACTACCTGGTTTTCTCCTCATTTAGGACTAGAATAAATCTATTTATAATTCATAAACTTAGGAATTGTTTCCCAGTTTGGAACAGTTCATTATAAACTTATTTATAACTAATTCCTCAAATTATTGGAGTGAACCTCGATCAGTCCCTAAAGTTAATGTTAGAGATGTTGTGAGAGGAATCACATCTGAAAGAGTCTAAAGTAGCTGATTAGTGGTACAAACACCAGCTCCATTTGTTGCTTTGTGTGAGTTTTTGTTAAAATGAAATTAAATTTTTTTTACAATTCGTTAAAATTAATTAGGTTTTTAGTCCCCTTCACACTTAATGATGACCCTGTTAAATTCAGTGTGACCTATTAGAACATGGATTGATTGTGAAAAATTTAAAAACAGTCATGATGCTGGTCCACTCTGAATGTTAGTTCTGTCTATTTTCTTTCTGCCCAAGTTGCTGTCCTGCTCCAAACACCCATCCTTTCATGACTCAAACTCTGTCAGGATGTAGCTTTACATTGAAAGACCACCATGCTACTGTTGTAAAGAGGCGCCTCCATAAATGTTCAAGGTTTTAGCCACTGTTCCTCTTGGAGTGGCAAACAAAACCTAAATCCTTCCAAGAACTGTAGGGTTTATTTATTGCTGTTATTAGATATAAGCCATTAGAAAATTATTGCAACTTTATGATACAAACCTACTTTGGTTCCATAAAACAGCATAGTCACAATTTAACTCATTGAAGCTTGTCTTCTCCTTTACTTAATATTCTAAAAACATTATGCATGTAGCCTCCCTCCTAATTCCAAATTAGTTTTAAGAAACAATTATAAACTTTCTGTATGAACAAGTCACAAATTCTGTTTTCACAC